TCCTTCTCTGCACTCACCTTAAGATGGCTTGATTTGTTTTCTGTTGTTTGTAACCAAAAATCCCAGCATAAATGCACTAATAAAAAGAACAAACAAACCTTGTTTACTACCATGATTTAGACTGTTCCCTTCCGCAGGAGCAGAAATCTCAGATACAGGACTAAATGACCTGTCTGAAGGCACTTATACCTCAAATATTTCCTTTGGAACTTTGGAGGCCAGGCTATTTTTTCTTTTAACTTTGCAAAGAATTAAGGGGCCTACCAGCTAATTCCTGAACAATGTGGACTTAAGGGGGAAAATCCTCAAACTAAACCCAAACAAACAAAATGGGATGGTGGTATTACCTATTTCTTGTTCTCTGCGTCTCATGTGGGCCATTGTTTAACTTCATGTTGCTTTATAGAACACATTCTCCTTTGTGGAAAACACGAAGATGCAAAAAGATGAAAACAAAGCCACCATAATCACCAGATAATTACTTTATAATATTTTGCTATGCTTTCTTATATATGTGTGGTCTTTACAAGCACAATTCACAAAAATGGGATCATACTGTAAATTTAACTAAACATTGTGTATTTTATTTCATTAAATTTTTTGAGTATAATTTTACCGGCTACATACTATTCTAACCCTATTATTTATTATTTGTATTCTTAGTTAATACTTTGCATTTTCTTTAGAAGCATCTAAAATTAAGATCACTTTTCTCTTCTGAAATTGGTATAAATATTGTCATATATTTATAGGTAAATATACCCATAGTTCATGCTAATGTCCAATATTCACAACCACTCCTGATTGATGGTTGACTGTTCAGTGATAAATAGAGCAAGTGCCGTCTTTTATGATTGAATTGTGGTGGTTGCAGGAATACTGAAGAACTTGTCACACTAGAAGAGTTGTATAAAGGCCAAAATGACCTTAGCAACAGGGCCTTCTGTAAACTCTACCTCCAATAACAGGCTGTCCTAGGAGAGTTTGCCTACGAGCATTTTTTTTTATCAATTTATGTTAATCTGGTCCTTGTACTAAGTCCACAAGGTTATGCAAATGAGCGCTTTACGTTCCTGCTCTTCACAGATGAACAACTTTCCTCAGCAGGTTTGGGACGTCTAAGCCCAGCAACCTACAAGGGGAAGAGGATCAAGATTCTGAGTGGTCATTTGATCTACTGAGATGCAAGCACTCTTTTGAGTAGTAAAATCAGGTAAGAATGACTGCTTTCATCCTGGAGAGGGAGGGGGAAAAAGAATCACGAATTGTCTAATTGTTTTAGAGATCTTGAAAAAATCCTAAAGTTTGTATCTCATTTTCATAACTTTGAGAACCCATTGTGCCAAATTGTTACTTCTTACTGAAAAGGGATTGGCATGTCTGGTCTCAAGACAGGCATTAGTAAAATTTCCCTTTCAGTGATCAGAACTATCCCACACATTTTGCAAACCCTGTGTTCTATCAAAGTATTTCTTCACAGATTCCTTAAGATGGTTTAGAAGAATCCATCATCAGTCAGAGTGACTGTAGAACCTAAAAACCTAGAGAATGTAATGAGAAGAAATACAATATGGTGGCTAGAAACTGGGTTCTGAAGCCTGATTGCAGAGTTGAAAAAAAATCTCATTTCTGCCTCTTCTTGGGTTGAGACCTTGGGAAATTCTTCTCCTACTACTGAGCCTCAGTTTCCTACTCTACAAATAGGGATATGATGACAATGTTGGTACCTATCTCGTAGAATTTCTATAAAAATAAGATCATATGTACCAGGGATACTTTTTCTGATCCTTGGGGTATAGGAAGTGTTCAGAATGGTAGCATTTATCATTAGGTTTCAAAACAGAGAACACTGTACTCCTCCCTGTCTTTAAAGGAAGTTTATAGGAAGCTAGTGCTGAACACCTGTTAGAGAGCCATATGAGAACTTCAGAACCCATTTTCTTAACCCATGCTTGAAGAAACCTGAGCAGTGGTATGAGACTCCCAGGACTGATCCTCAAAAGGAGCAATTTGTGACTAAGATGCTGACACCCCATGCAGTGAGAAATGGCAAGAAATTAATGCATTCAGTGTGGCCCATACAACCTTTGGTTTCAATTTGAGTAAGATTGATTATGCCTAGTTCATGTTCAAGGCTTTGTGTTTTCTTTCTTTTTTTTTTTAAAGAGAAGTTATTATTTATTCTAAAAATTTATTTCTAAATTCTCAGGAGACAGAACAGCCAAACAATTTTTAAAGGAATAAAGATGATTTCACTACCTAATTTTAAAACTTATTTACCACTACTTCAATTAAAAAGCTCTGGAATAGGCAATAAAGACAAATGTATATGGTAGTGGGTCCAGAAATAGGTATCCATGTATATGGTAAATTGATTTTTTTTTAGCGAAGTTCCCAAGATATTAATATGATAGAACAATTTTTAAGAAGAAAGAAAAAAGCAAATTAAAACAAAAAAATCTTAACCCTTATTGTATGCCATTTTTAAAATAATCACTTTAAATGAACCACAGGCTATGAGCCTTCTATAAGCCAAGATGACTGACAACACACAGATTGTCTATGTTAAGTGTAGTCATGTGATAAGAGCCTGTGTACCAAACAGAGGTGCTACATAACACATTAACACATCATACACACACACACACACACGCACACACACACACACACACACACACACACACATACACACACACACACACACGTTTTGTTTGGCCATTTTTGCTCTGTTGAACTGATTACCACTGCTGACCTTGTATATCAGACAACAATGGCACTTGATTTTGCATTTTAATTTTCGCCTTTTAGTTGGACTTGAATGACCTGTCTACCTCATGTGTTTCACCACTCTGTTTAGCTGCCAGAATCACTGCCAACACATTAACATTCTTGCTAAACCACTTTAACTGACTTTACCACCATCTTTAGGGAAATTAACATTTGAGTGAGCACTATTTATTTCTCATTGATGATTAAAATCTGAATTTGAACATTAAGGCAGATGCCTCATCTGCCTTCAGAATGCAAATATACCTTGAGGAGCAGAGCCCATGATTACGTCTTAAATGGTTCCAGATTACATAATTGTTTCCTTTTATTCTGTATCCTATACAGGTTTAGCAGGCTAGAGAGTGCATGTCCCAGCTGCAGGAACACCAGCAACTGCTGTATTTTATGAACTACTTTAAAAGAAAATGTGAAATATCAGATTTATAAATGTAAGCTCTATCTTTACAGATAAACTATAAATGCATTTTTTTTTTTTTTTGCCATCTCACTCAAATTGAAACCAAACATTGTCCGGGCCACACGGAATGCATTAATTTCTTGCCATTTCTCAATACATAGAGTGGCAGCATCTTAGCCACAAATTGCTCCTTTTAAGGACCAGTCCTGGGAGTCTCATATCACTGATCAGGTTTCTTCAAGCATGGGTTAAGAAAATGGGTTCTGAAGTTCCCACCTGGCACTCTAATAGACCTTTAGCACTAGCTTCTGTAAACCCCCTTTAAAGACAGGGAGGAGTATGGTGGTCTCTGTTTTATCAACCTAACAATAAATACTCAGAAGAAGTATCCCTTGTATGCGTGATCTTATTTTCATAGAAATTCTATGAGATAGGTACCAACAGTGGAAAGCAAATAGATTGTGTTGTGAAGCATTTGGATAACACATCTAAGCTTTTCAGAAACACTATTGTAATTGGTCTTGTCTGTTGTGGTCTGGGATATGGAAGCCGTGGTAAATATGTTCTGTTTGCCATCCTTGCCATGGTCAAGATGAAAGCTAAGATGTTTTAGCCTTGAGAAGCTCAATGTGTATGAATTTTCACCCATGATTCTGTCTTTTTATTCCTCTCCATGTTTCTTCTCCCATTTCTGCTTTGCCTCAAGAGAAATGGCCAAGCGTACTTTCTCCACATTGGAGACATTCCTGATTTTTCTCCTTGTAATGATGACTGCCATCACAGTGGCCCTTCTCAGCCTCTTGTTCATTACCAGTGGGACCATCGAAAACCACAAAGGCAAGTGTCATGGGCCCTCTTAGATGCTCTTCCTCAGTCTTAATTATTGAGGGATACCAAGGTGAGAAACTGTATCTGCTGATAGTTCAATGTGTGCTTCAGGGAGATGGGATGGTCCTTTCATTTACATTAATTATTCTTTCTGCATCGATAGCAGTTTTTATCAAATTTACCTTTGTCCCTAAAGATACAGTTAAGAGACAGGTGCACATATTTGCCTTTAGCTTTCCCATTAATCTATGCCCAGTTCAAGATTCTTCAAAGCCTGGTAATGTCAGCTTTTACCCCAAGCTTCTAATCTTTCTGTCTCCTTGTAGGCAGTGTCTGTTTTCTCCTGGAGACAAAACAAAAAAAGAAAGAAAGACCCCTGAATGTCAGTCTATGAAAAGCCTTAAGAAAGGGAGCCTCCAATTCAAATCCTACAGGCCGATCAAATTCTTCCACCAGGTTTGAGTGGAGAGACAGAACAGAGTGGGGGCAGGCTCAATTCTGATGAAGGGGATCCATAGCTTGTTGTGCTCTTTGTCATGATACGGCATGGTCTCAGATCTCCAGAGTTTTCAAGAAAAGCTGGAAATTGAGATTTTTTTTTTAAGGTGTCTCTGATTTGTTTTTTTGTATTTGATATTGGAAACAAATTGAGTTTTTGAAAACTATAAAAAACTATATAGGCTACATTTATCAGCAATCTTAGCACTGTGTTCCATCCAGGTTTTGGTGGAGTCTCTGCTTCCATGTTTGGTAACATGCCTGTTAGGCGATAGAGAGTGTGGGGAGGAGCGATTCCATGCTTTGACCCTGTCTTTAAGAGGTCTGTCTCCTGGCAGAATGGAAAAGCAGATGCATGGTTCACTTCCACTTTTCCTTTCGTGGCCTCTTTTCTAGAGTTTTCTCTATCATGTCCTGTGGCCTTGAGTTCCCTGTGGATTCAGAGAAACAGATATCCTCTATTGTAGCAGTGGCCAGCGTGGGGTCTTGCTCTGCTAGAAATGACAGGATCCTTGGGATTTATTTAAAACCATAGATTCTAACTCCACCTAGGATTTGGCCACAAGAGCATCTGATTCTGAGTTTGAAAATCTAAATTGGACCTGGAATCTACCGCATGTTCACTGTGAAATCTTGGTGAAGTCACTGCTCTGAGGTTCAGTTTTCCTATCTGTAAACCTGAAGAGGTTGAACTTGGTGATCTATGACTGTTTTTGGTTCAAAAATTCTGGAATCCCAAAAGATGTCAGCTATAAATCTCTAGCCCAAGAACTTTCTGACCACTAATACTTTGTGACACCAATATTTGCCACCTTGTCTATTCCTTGGCTATTGTCTGGGGGTTGAAACAAAAAAGAAAATGTATATAAAAATGTCTAAATATGTAAGGAAGACCAAAGCTACCTACCAGCCATTGCTCTAAATTTTAAGAATGTGATAATACTGTTGTTGTTCCAAACAACCGTAGGAAGGGGATACTATTATTGTCTACATTATGTAGTTGAGAAAATCGAAGTGAAATAAGTTAAGCAAGGTGTTGCATTAGTAATAGGTAGAGTCAGGTTTCAAAACCAGGCAGTTAGTTTTTGATCTAATCTCTGTGTCATTCTGGCTCCTTTGATAATTCATATGTGTTTGTGTATTAGAAATACATGCATGCATGCATTAATATGGTATATTAATGCATGTGGATAAATAGGTGTGGACATAATTACAAAAAGGTGGAACTATGTCAACAAGCATACAGGATCTGGGCTTTGAAAGGCCAAGGAGGACCAGGGCAGGGTAGAGACATCTGGGTGGCATCCTGGAGGAGCTGAGCTAGATCTAGGTGTGATGGAAATGGATCTGTGCTGAAGCAAGTGATGGAGACCAGTTGGCAGAGAGGAAAGGAGTGAGAGGTCTGAATGGAGAGAATGGAAGAAAAAAAATCCCCAGAAGTTGGATTTAGCGAATCATGTGAGAGGAACCTGGTTCCTGTTTTGTTTGGCTGGAACATAAAAGCAGGGACAGTGAGGGCAGCAGACAACTGTGACAAGGAAAAGCTCATAATGAGGATCTGAAGGACATTTCACAGAGGCTCTATTTGTTAGTCTGAAGCATTGCCAACCCCTCCCCCATCCCCCAAAAGAGATGCTGCTTAGAATTATGATATCTATTTCTTCTGTTTTTTTCTCATGGTGTATCTTATATATATAAAAAAATATTTTTTTTTCCTTGGATACCTGAACTTATGTATTCTAATGGATACAGACAAAAAAAAGTGGATGAAATGTTGTTTCTCAAATATTTTATCTATTTTAGACTCAGGAAACCATGGTTTTCCTACCACCCAAACCTCTCCGGTTTCGCAGGATACCATAGCCACCCAAGCCTCTCCAGTTACTTGCACCTCAGAGCCTCCTTTATTTCAGAACTTCAGTGGCTACCATATTGGTGTTGGGCGAGCTGACTGCACAGGACAAGTAGCAGATATCAATTTGGTAGGTTAATTAATGATGGGCTTTTTAGGGAGGCTGTGAAACAAGTAATTTTATTATTTTGCATTCTACATTCATTTGTGTTTATTATGTCATTATTATCTTCTTCTAGTCTTCCTATTGACTTTGGTATTTTTTTAATATTTGTTTTTTAGTTGTAGTTGGACACTATACCTTTATTTCACTTATTTATCTTTATGTGGTGCTGAGGATTGAACCCAGGATTGCGCACATGCGAGGCGAACATTCTACCACTGAGCCACGACCCTACCCCCTTTGGTATTGTTTAGCATTGGAAAGATGATCCTGTAAGAAAGAGGGAAATTTTTGTTCAGTCACAATGCCTTTGTAAAGTCAATTACCAGTTTTACGAAGTAACTGTGAGCTCAGAGCTATCTAATTTAGTGATTTTGTCAAAAGAAGCCAAAATATCTCTGAATTGAAGATTTGAGGCTTTCAGTCTCTCACTCGAAAAACATAGGCAACTGTAGTTGGAACTGTAAACTTAGTAGGAGCTAACACCAGGTAAGCCGAATAAAATACTTCTATAGATTAGGAGGGGCCTATTGACTGCTAGCATGCAACTTCTTGGCTATGGTGGTGGAAGTACCTATTTATGGTTTTTATTTTTTGTTTTTGTGAAAGAATTTATTCTCCTATGCTTGTGCCTAAGAAACCGGAACATGAATGTCCGATGGGACTTGCTTCCTGTTGCCAAGTAATTTTTATATTCTAAGAATTATTCCCAGCTGTCTCTTCTAAAAAGTGACTTGGAATGGGAACCCTAAGTGAACACTCTAATGAGAGATAAAGTTAATGGTAGAAGGGGCATTCTGCAGGTATGGGTGTAGTCTTTATAGGTGGGTTTTATGAATAGTGACAAAAGGAGCTTGGGATAGATGCCTGTGATCTGACTTGGCTTTGCTTAGGGAGAGATAACATGGTAAAAGCCAGGGTGAAGTACCTCAGTCAAGATAACTTAATCATAAAGATACCATTATCTTCAGAGGAAAAAAAAAATCACACACCAAACAACGATTGTGAGACAGGCAGGCTCCAATCTTCAGGATGTTCCTGAACAATGTCGGGTAGAGGTACAGAAAATATTTCCTTCTTTAGTACCTTAAGCAGACAGACGAAAAGCTTTCATTTTCAAGAACAGAATGGCTATCAAAGGGTTTCCAGTGTAGAAATGGAATTCTTGAGCCACACTAGCTCTTTCCTTGACATACACCAGTGAATGTTTTCTGCCTTATTAATACATTGTCTTTACATTGGAGTAGAAGATTAAAGTCACTATTATGATCTTGGCTTTATTATTTAACATTTTTTTTATTATTTGGCTTTATTATTAACATAAATTATTCTTGAAAACACATTAGTTATCTCACTCAGAGCTATGGGTTCATGTGGTTTTTATTTTTTGTCTTTCTGAAAGAATTTATTCTCCTATGCTTGTGCCTTCTTTCCATTAGTAGGTGAGTGGGCTAGCATGGCTCTCATTCTCCCTTTCTCTTTAGATGGGCTATGGCAAATCTGGCCAGAACGCTCGGGGCATCCTCACAAGGCTGTACAGTCGTGCATTCATCATGGCGGAACCCACTGGGCCAAACCGACGGATAGTGTTTGTCAGCGTTGACATAGGCATGATATCCCAGAGACTCAGGCTGGAGGTAGGTAATTGAGGTCCAGATGAAATGATGTGATTTAAAGGAAGTCTGGGTGAACAAAACATGATGGCCTAAGCACTCCTGGTTTCTCACAGTGAGCCTCTACCATCAATAGAAGCTCTCATCCAGCAGACAATCGCACAAGAATGAGCCCCATTATTGAGTCTAAGTAATCTTGATCAAAACTCACTCTCAGTTCTGCAGATGTCTTGTCATTAAGAATGTTAATATCTTTTGAAAGCTTATTATATTCCAGGTGACCTTCACATATATTCTTTCACTAAATCATTCCTCCTTAGAAGTTTGAGAGCATCAATTCATCACTCATCTCTCAAGTTCTCAGACAATTGAGAAGAGATGCAAGGAGTCAAATGAGAATTAAAAGGCAACATTGAAATGAGGTTAGCTATGAGTTGGTAACTGTAGAAACTGGGTGATAGGCACAGGGGGTTCATTATATTATTCTGGTCATTTTTGTATGAGTTTGAAAATTCATATGACAAACGTTATAAAAGAATATAACATCAGCTCTATTAATCTTTAAACTGTATTGTAGAATATGGCAGACTTTTCTGTGATTTTTTTTCCTCCCCAGTTTAGAACTTGTTACCTGCCTGTAGGGGATAATTGAGCTTAGCAAAAAGTTACATGGTGTCCTGGGCTGCCTGAAACATATAAAGATTAGAGAAAGAAAAGGAGAGAGGGAGCAGAGAGGGAGATAGGGAAGGAAGGAAAAATGGGGCAGAATAAAATGATGGATATTAGAGTTCCAGTTCTATCTCTTGAAGCAAACTTTCAAGCTTTTGACCCAGTGAAGTTTTTTCTTCATAAGATCAGGTCACAATGAGTGAATAGAGCATTCACTGTTCACATATGAATGTGAGAAAGAGGAGAGGCTGGAGCCCTGGCCAGAACCATGACTGTAAGTGCCGGGCATGCAGTGCCATGTTCTGTGAGTCTCCCCTGTGCTGTTCTGGCTGTGTGAAGAGGCCAGACAAGGGGTGGTGAGATGGTCTAAAGGCACTGTTCCAATATCTTCCTCCCCGGGGTGGAGGGTGGGAGCCTCTCCCATCTCTGGAAATAGGAGGGGGCATTGAGTGTTTTCCTCCCTCCTACATTTAACAACAGAACTCAGGGGTGGCTCTGCTGTTGTCCCCATATCATGGATCAGGCAACTGACTCTCAAGAAGGTAAGTAACTTTCCAAAATTCAGACAGTTAGCAAATGTGGGATCTGGGTTCTGAACACCTGTGCGCCTCATCCCAGAGCTCGTGACTCCCAAACCCATCTGAGAAGTTGCCTCCTGTACCTGAACGGAGGTGGAAACTCTGTGGGGAAGAGGGATAAGGGATGCTGATCACCTGGGTCTTTCCTAAAGAGAAATCAGCTCAATTTAAGTTAGGAGAGAGGAGGGACTTGGAGAATTGACTTTCCTGATTTCAAGAGAGGTCTGGCTTGTGACTCAACAGGCAAACTGGGGCAAGGAGCTCTTGCCTGAGATCCCTCTCCCAGTTTCTCAGGTAAGAGGCTACCTGCCTGAGTGCCAACAGCTCCTACAGACCGTGCCAACCCATTCACATCCACCCATTCACCAACCTAACAACTGCCAGCCTCTCCATCTATCCATTCAATCACCATCCATCCATTTATCCACCCAACCACCCATTCATCCCTCATCCATCCATTTATCTACCATCCGTCCACCATATTCCATCGATAGATTGATGGATCCATCCACCCATTCATCCATCATCTATTCATCCAAGAACCCTTGTTCTTAAAAGACATTATTATTTTAGAGGGTGAAATATGCTGACCACCTGCTTTTTGTAAGCACTTTGCCGGCCACTACAGGGGTCACACAGCTAAGTGAGTCATACTCCATGTCCCTTATGTGTTCACCATCTAGTTGGGGCATAAAAGGAAGAGTATTTTCAGTAACACACATTATTCTCTGGAGTAAAGTATACTGGTATATTATTTATTGATTACTGTGTAATAACTTATCCCAAAGGACAGTGATTTAAAACAACAAACATTATTATTTCACTTGGTCTGTTGGTTAGGAGTTCCGAACTGGCTTGGCTCTGTGGTTTTGGCCTCAGTTTTCTTGCAATCAAGATGAGGGCAAAGAATGCAGACATTTAAGAATGAGCCTTGGGCTGGAGTTGTGGCTTAGTAGTAGAGGATGCCTAGCATGCACGGGGTCCTGGGTTCGATCCTCAACACTATGTAAAAATAAACAAAATAAAGGTATCGTGTACAACTAAAAAAAAAAAAAAAGAATGAACCTTAAATTTAAGGATCAATTTGGGATTTGAATTCTCATTGCAAGATGGTTCACTCCTGTGGTTGTTGGCAGCAAACCTCGATTACTCTCTCTATATTCTGATGGATTCCTTTGGAGGGAGTATCCCAAGAGAAAGAACAAGGAGGAATCCACAGTGCCTTCTACAACCATGTCTTATAAGTTACTGTTACTTTCACTCTATTCTACTAAGCAAGTCACTAAATCTAGTTCATACTTACAGGTGGTAAAATTAAGCTTTAACTCTTGTAGGAAATACTGAAGAATTTTTAGAATATATATAGTATTTTAAGATCAGCACAAAGGGATTCAGGAAATGGTAATTATGAAGACATTTTCATTGTGGAAATGACATTTGAGTGTGCAGAATTTTAAATGTTTACAATGGGAGACGATATACCATATAGAAGGGAGATTCGAAAGGGAGAGACAGAGACTCTCTTCTGAGGGAGCAGAAGGATTCTGTTAGGACACATGGAGTCAGGTCTTAAGATGTATCTGGATGGTGTGTTGGCTCTAATGTGGAAGGCCTGGAATGCCAGGTTGTTTTTTTTTTTTTTTTAATTCTGGGAGTGATGTGGAATTTTATAAAACTTTTGAATGGTAATATAAACACTATTTTGGTTTAAGATGATTAATCAGACAGTGATGTTTGATATGGATTGGAATAAAGTGGAGCTAGAGATAAAGACATAAATTAGCAGACTTTAAGGTGCTTTTTAAAGTTGTAGATGGACACAATACCTTTATTTTATCTATTTATTTTTATGTGATGCTGAAGATTGAACCCAAGGCCTTGCCCAGCTAGGCAAGTACTCCACCACTGAGCTTCAGCCCCAGCCCATCAGATTTTTGATATTGAGATTTTATTTGTAAGAGTCCAGTTAGGAAAACAGTATCATACTAGCTATTTAAAACAGAGGACATTTAATACAGGGGAATTTTACAAGGTGTTGGAGGATTGAAAGAGATAGAAAGAGAAATTAAGGTGACAGAAGGGTTTTTAACATTGCCTGACAATTTCTCCTATGTCATTTGAGGTTGGCACAAAGATCTTAAACCAGTGAGGTGACAGTGAGATTTCATGTGGATAAGGGATGAAATTAAATGCTTATGAGATTTGGGGATGAATAGACATAAAAACTAACACATAATGAGCCAGGTACTGTTCTAAGTGCCAGCCTTATATTTTTATATATGAATTCATATATATGTGTGTGTGATATATAGATATTATATATATATAGCATTATATATATTTATGAAGAGCATTATATATATGTGTGTATATATATATATATATATATATATATGAAGAACAATATATAAAACATTTTTACATGGAACAAAGTTTGTATATATAAACTTGCTTAATCCTCTAAGCAACTCTATGAGAGAGTACTGATGTTATGTCCTTAGACAGACTGTGAAGCTAAGTTGTAGACCATCAAGTAACTTATCCAGAGTTACACAGTGAGGAACTGTCAGAGCTGGGATTTGAACTTTAGGCATTTTGGTACCAGAGTTTTTATTATACTATACTACTTTTCTAAGGAACTAAAGAAAACAGAAGAGACAAAGGTAGACTTTGGGGCTGGAATGGTGAGGGGAGAGGGGCTTAATGTGTTGGTTTATAGATGAGGTCATGTCATAGTGGGTACCATGCAACATATCTTCCTATTTTTATTTTTCCATGCAATCTGAGACCCAGTGGGAAGGCCCTTAAATAAACCAACTTAGTTATTCCATGTTATCTCAAAGGGAGGTGTGAAAAATAAAAGTAGCTATATAAGTGCCATTAAGCTTGTCTTTAACACCTGGTTTGAGGTAGGTTCTCCATCTCAGCTTCAAGACTAATGACATTTCCAGCATGGAATGAAGATTAGAAAGGATCTCTGAGCAGTGAGGCAAGGCAGGAAAACGGAATGACTTTCTAATAGTCTATATCATTCTCTCAAGAGTATCTGGGATAGGAAATGAAATGGGAATGGAAGACAGAGAAGTCAGCTACATACATTAACATTACTGCATTGTTCTATGTTAAAATACCCTTTCTTTCAAGAAAGGGCAAATGTGCTTGTAATAATGGTTATTTGCATGCATGATTATTCTATTATTATTTCATATATTTCATTTTCCCTCAAATCCTATGGGTCTGGTTTCTTACCAGAGATTATGGTTTAGGAAAAGGTACCTGCAGTTGTGGGTGTGCTATTGTAGCTTTTTTTGTTCAAGATTCATTGTGTGTGTGTGTGTGTGTGAAGCTGGGAATAGAACCCTGGGCTTCAGACATGCTAGGCAGGTGTGCCACCACTGAGCCACATCCCCATACCTCATTATTACTATCTTTTTAAGAACTTGATTCTTGAACAGAAATGAATTAATACATTTAATTCTAAAATCCCAATGTTGTAGTCTTAGGAATAAATTGAGTGGGGTTAGGGAGTTTTAAAGTTGACGTGCAGTTCTACTTTTCTATTACCTTCCTGTCTTGGTGCAGAATTTCAAGAATTTCAGCCTTTGACTTTAGTTCAGCTTGATGGTGTCCCTTCATCAATTATTTCCTCTTCTCCCAGACATTTTTCTCTCCTTCTGCATGGTGTGGTAGTTACTGTGCAGAAGCATTTGTGGAAGCAATAGGAGTTGAGGTTGGACTTAGGGTGAAACAGAAGGAATACAAACTCACTGGGATGGAGGATGAGGGCCGCTTGGTGAGAGGGATGTTAGTTGCACTCTTTCATATTTCCTTCCCATCATTGCTGCTTCATGCTTCAGTGTTGCTTATGTGGACATGGTAACCAAACAATTGTTCTTTGGGGTATGGAGAAGTTAATGAGGCAAGATGTTGTGCAAGATATTCTTTATGCTTTAATGACCACATGGCTAGAATGAGTAGCATCACTCTTCAGCTGAGACAGAAGTAGTCGCATGGCTACCTTCATCTCTGCTAACTATGCAGTGCAGAAGCTGCTACTTCCCTGTGGACTTAGTGGTGTTCTGGAAGTGGATTGCACCAGCTCATGAGCGATTGTTGTTAATTGTTAAGGAATGTTGTGGTTTGGTTGTTAAACTTTTGGCAGTTTTAAAATTGACCATGGTGGGAGCATTGACACCACAGAAATTGGCAACCATGTATGAGGGCTTCCCCACTTCCCTAGAGAGATGGTTTATCAGACACTCTATGCCATATTCAAGGTAAACATTGCTAATGGTTGCTTTGAGTTTGACACTTTTGCTGGATCATTTTCATATTTTTCACAAAGGAGCCACAATAACACCAGACTTCGGATTGCAGCTGATTAAAGCACAGTCAGAAGTAGGTACTCATGTTGCTACATCATCAATTTTCTGTTTTCTTGTTGCATGTGCACCGTACAAAGACACGAGTCATGCACTTGCATATTAATTGACTAATTCAGTTAACATTTACCAAGCATCTTTACTTTAATTGTCTATTGCTAAAAAACAGATCATCCAAAACCATAGTGGCTTAAAGCAGTAATAGTCATGTATTACCACAGAAGGTTTCTGTGGGTTGGAAATCCCAGAGTGGCTGAGTCGGGCACCTCTGACTTATGTTAGATCAGAAGTCACACATTATTTTTTTCTGTGTTGTGGGGTGGCACACAGATGTTGACTGGGGCTGCAGTTGTTTGGAGACTTACCTGAGGTTGAGGAAATCTTATTCTAGCAAGTCATGCTGGTAAGATGGTTCTTCTTCACGTGGACCTTTCATGAGATTACTGGGGTGTCCTTAACATCACACTGGATGACTTACCTTAGACCAGTAGATGTAATTCAGGGATAGTGAATTCTTCATCTTGCAAAGTGATGCAGTAAAGTAGCTAAGAGGCCTAGCCAAGTCTCTTCACTGTGCCTGTAAGGCTTCATGCCAGATACTACATGGCTAGCTTCTCTCCCCAGGTAAGCCTCTGCTAAAGAGCACCCCTCCTCAGAAAGGTCTTTCCTCACTAACTCCTGCCACTTTCTTTTTTCTTATTCATCAATGTTTCTTTTTATAGCATGTGTCACTGTATGGCATACTGTCACGTATTTATTTTCTTGTTTATTATCTTTCTCCTTCATTAGAGTAAAAACATCTTCAAGGTAGGAATTTGCCACATTCCATGTGCTCAGAGCAGGTGCCTGAATGTTAATGCTATGTGTTGAATGATGAATGGTTTAAGAATACTGGCTCAATAGCCAGACTCAGATCTGGAGTCTGATTCTGCTACATTTTAGATGGGTCAGCAAATTAATTTCTGGAAGGTGCCTCTGCTCACCACTCTCCTACCAACAAATTATTTAACTTCTGTACCCTTCAATGTTCTGAGTTAAAAAAAAAAGAGGTTCACAATACCTACTTCTTGGGATTGTTATAAATATTTTCAAATGACATAATATATATATATATATAAAATACCTAGGATTGTGCTTGCACTTAGCAATCTATAAAATGTTAGCTATTGCTATAGCTGTTACTGTTGTTCTCGTTATTGTTACTATAATAGTAAACAGAGTGAAGGGCCACATGAAAGGGGTAGCAAAGGGATGGATCAGTGATTAAACTCAGGAGACGCTTTTCTCATGCTTAGTTTGTATGTTATTCCCTTTGTTGGTTCATTTTTCTTTTTTTCCTAAAGGTCCTGAACAGACTGCAGAGTAAATACGGCTCCCTGTACAGAAGAGACAATGTTATCCTGAGTGGCATTCACACACACTCGGGTCCAGCAGGATATTTCCAGTACACTATATTTGTCATTGCCAGTGAAGGATTTAGCAATCGAACCTTTGAGTACATGGTCACTGGTATCGTGAAGGTAGGCAAAGAGTCCCCAAGGCAGCTGTTCCTGACCCTTCTTCCCTAGGTTTTAGGAGTGATTTGGCGTGACACAGAGACTCCCTCTAGGATCCAGGTCTGACACAGTGTTAGGGCTTTTCTATCTTTCTCCTTCCTGACTCTCTTTGGCTTCTGGTTCTGAGCCACAGACTGTTAGGCAAGAGGCACTGATTGATAGGAACAGGAGGCTTCTATGGCAGTAAGCCCCAAGACAGAAAATACTTCGTTGGTGACTCTTATAAATTATAAGGCCTCACATGATCTGTTCCCTGCACAGAGTCACTGGAAGAGGAACTTATCAAGGAACTACAATTGCAAATAACTCTAATATTTCTTTATATGTCTCAAAGAATGAAGAAGATACAATTGGTAAAAACACATCCTCATTCTCAAGTCTTCTTCAGCAGAACCAACCCCCTTGGGGACTTCTCACCAACACCCTCAAGTTCCTCACCATTCCTAGCTCAAATGCCTGTCCTCCCCTCTCCCCTGTGCGCCGGCTACTGTTTCTGCACAGAGATCTTGTGTATGTCGTTCTTCCTCCCTCGGCCTTCCAGGTTCAGTCTCTACTTTTCCTCGCAAAGTCGCCCCAAGTTTCATCTGGCAAAGGCAGAATTTTCTTTACAACAGTGTTTTTCACACTGTGGCTAGCAGTGTGTTCATAGCTTATAAAATAAGCTTATTGTAGGTGGCAATAAGTGTTACATGCAGAAGCACTTCAATAGAATAGATGGGAAAATATTGCAGTACATGACCCACAGTGAGGGTAGAGTCTGTCTTATGTACTTTTGCCTTAGAATGCATATGTTGGTTTGCAATAAGTTACGATGAAAAATGTATCTCTCACTGTGGTTTCAGTTAAAAAAAAAAAAAAGGAAAAACAATTTTGAAAAACTGCCTTAGAGGATGGTGGGATGGAGAGGGCAGAGAGGGTGGAACACTTGTATGTTAACAAATCTTGCCCCAGTGTCTTGGGAGTCAAGTCTGCCATATTGGCCAGGTAAATGGCAGTCCTGAGGGCAGAGGTCACAGGAGCTAATGGATACTCTTCTTACCTACGCACAGCACTTTCTCTGTCTCAGCCTTGAAGGTCCTATCTGTTTACCTACAGATGACAACAGCCATGTGGCTCTTCAGCTTTTAACCTATAGTGGGGACATCTTACAAAGGAAATTGTTTATAGGGCTCTTTTACATGGACTAAGTCATCATCTCCACCAGGATGTCGAAGCTTACAACTCCCTCTTCTTCCTTCTTTTAACTTTCAGAGCATCGAGATAGCACATGAAAATATGAAACCAGCCAAAATCTTCATCAATAAAGGAGATATCGAGGGTGTGCAGATCAATCGAAGTCCTACATCTTACCTTAGGAATCCACAGTCAGAGAGAGCAAGGTGAGGGAAATGATCAAAACAGCATCATTGCATTTCCCTTGAGAAAAGCCACAAAATCCAAAAATTGTTATTGGTGGCCATGGTAGGACCCTAGGAGAGTATGCAAGCTAAAATAATTTTAGAACACGTTCATCTAGGGCAAGCAGAAACAAAGAGTGAATATAATAATGAACTCCCAATATTTTCTTTTCATATATTTCTGTCCTTTGTTGGCGTAGGGAGCCATGGTAGATGTCTAAAGTACTCTGGGCTGTGAAATCAGGCACAAGTATTGTTTCAACTTAGCTTTATCACTTCCTAATTGTGTGACCTTTAAGAATTTACTTAATTTATTGACTCTTAGCTTTGTCATCTGTAAAATGGAGACGAAAATGTGCATAACACATCTTTGTTAAATTAAAAAATAGCTGTTTTATTATGTGTTATGTAGAAGGAATCATCTAAATGCATCAGAGTGGGGCAAGGGAGAGAAGATTAAAACATAAAAATAAAAAAGAGAATCTGGAAGGAAAAGCAAGAAATAAAACCAACATAACTAAATCAAACATTTAAAGGAGATGATTTTTTTTTTTTTAAATAGTTGGTTACAAGGTTGTAACAGAAGAGAAGTACTTGGCTGCTATGGCATTGTACAACATCTGTTTCAACTTGACTTTGACATTTTATATTTGTCTGCATATTTTTCAATGGCTTTCAGAGGTATTGATTTTTAGAAACTAAAATCTGATTTTCCTTGAAAAGACATAAAAGAACACTTAAGTTGCAGGTATTGAATGATTTGGGTTTTGTATACTCCTGCACATTCCAAGAGATTCCATTAAAAGTTGATATAAGTAGAAATGTCAAAGACAAATCATTTTCTATATGTTATATAATATTACATCGATTATATAAAAATATATAGTTCAACTCCCGTCAGTTTACTTAGTCCTCCTAAGGTCAATCATGATTATGAACCATCTCCTTACTGAAGAATGAGGTACTGGATGGGGTTCACAGAACTGTTGCTTTTCAAGGAATCTCACGGAGGCATTTTTTTTTTCAGCTTTTATTATTTGCCATACATGAGGGCCAGTCTTTAACATAGAACTAAGTATCTTTATTTCACTGACTAGGTATTCTTCAAATACAGACAAGGAAATGCTACTCTTGAAAATAGTGGATTTGAATGGAGATGACATGGGCCTTATCAGGTAATCTATTTTCTTTTTCTTCTTCTTCTTTTTTAATGTGTCTGGAGATCTTTCATTAATTACAGGGAGAAAAAAGAGACTAGAGTAGTACCCATAATGCCGAAAAAAAAAATATGTGGCTAAGAGTTCAGGCTTGGAGTCATATACAACTGGGGCCCAGTCATGGGGCTTTGGGCAAGGTTCTCAGTCTCTCAGGGCTTAGTGTGTGGCCTGTAAATTAGGGCTGATATAAGGATGACCCAGTGAGGAGTCCTGGTGAGGCGCTCAGCATAGCTTCTGGCACATGACATAAATACTCAGTAAATGTTGGTGTTCAGATGGAAAGCTTCTAAGATGTGGACAGTTATTTCTTGATAAAATAAGAAAATAACCTGACCAATCAGGCAAGTGACTACGGGTTTAGCACTTTTTATATTTTCCTAAGAGGATCAAATCTAATACAAGGAAGCGCCAATTAGGAATAGGAAGAACTCAGCACACATTTTAACATATGTTAACTGTTATATGGCAGTGACAGTATATAGGAAAACGGATTCTTCAAAAAGTAGAAATTTACATTCCTATGTGATTTTGGTCATTGAAATTGGACCGACTCAGGAATTGACTGGGTGGGTAACGTTGTTCTAGACACCTTGACCTGTGGACTTACAAAAGATACAAAAATGCCCTCAGAGAAATGTTTAATAGTGCTTGGGTGCTAAAGTCAAATGGCTTGGATTTACTCTGGACTCTCATTTTTATTAACTGTGTGACTTTAGACAAGTTATGTGACTACTCTATCTCCCAGTTTTCTTATCCCTAGACCATTTTGAGCATTCTATGGGAGGAAAGTGGTTTTTGCTTTGTTAAAACATTGGTTAAGTATTAGAGTGATGGCAAAGGGTTGGCCAAGTAGAACCATGAAATATCTAAATGAAAGATTCTATGTGAGTAAAAACTAAAAGCAAATTTTAAAAATTAAAGTAAATTAAAAGTAACCAAGTACTGAAGAAAAATAGACTATGATACATAGCTTAGCACATACCCAGTTTGGCTCTAAAACTAGGTGGAGTAGTTTCATGGTGATAAAGAGTTGAAGTTTCAGGGTAAAGTTGACTTGAGTTCACATCCAAGCCCTGCTGGTCACTTACTGGCCTTATTGCCTGGGGAAAATAATACCTACTTAGACTTCAGTTATTCTATTTGAAAGTGGGAATAATAATATCATATAGGATGGTTTGGGGATTAAATGAGATAATGCATGCAAAATTCTAATTTTGTGCATGGCATAGACAACAAAATCCTTTTAGCTAAAAGACAAGGAATAGAATATAATTTGACCTCTGCTAAATAATTCCATTATTGGCATATAAAAGTGCTTGAAACTTTTAGCATTGGAATTACTTTTTTGGGTATAAAATGAGGTGACTAAAAACTCCCTGATAAACTTTGCTAGGTGGGCTAACATGGTAAGATTTATTCTTCCATTACAATAAATTCATCTACTGATTAATTGCCGCCTAGCATTTAACTCAGAATTTCTAAATGTCAGTCATGCAACTGTGTTGCTTTGGGTATGTTATGATGAATAAGACACAGTTCCTCTCTTCACGAGTCTTACAGGTTAGTGGGGTGTCTGGGGTGGGTGACAAGATAAATAGATAGGTCATCATAACATAAATCAGATGGCCAAAAGTGCTGTTATGCAGGCATAAATTTATGCAGGCATAAATAAAAGACTTTGGATGATGTAGCCATGAGTACTTGGGTGCACTGTGAAAGATTTCCAAGAGAAAATGACATTGGAGCTGGACCTTGAAGGAGTCATGGGATTTCTCAAGGCATCATGGAGACAGTGAGTTCTGAGGCGAGAGTGAATGCTAGGTCAGAGTGGGTGGGAAGTGTACTGAATAGGGAAGGAAGATCTAGATTGTGGTTCATGTTGGTATGGAATTTGATTAGGACATAAATCACTGAAAAGTTATGTTGAGTAAGCCATGTTTGTTGGGAGAAGGTGGTTTTTGCTTTGTTTTGTCAGCTTTTTCACTGCTGTGACCAAAAGACCTGACAAGAACAATTTTAGAGAAAGGAAAGTTTATTTGGCTCATGATTTCAGAGGTCTCAGTCCATAGATGGCTGACTCCATTCTTCAGGACCTGAGGTGAGGCAGAACATCATGGCAGGATGTGTGGTGGAGGAAAGCATCTCAGGACTTAGCAAGAAGCAGAGAGAGATAGAATCCCCTCACCACAGACAAAATATATACCCCAAAGACATATCCCCCAATGACTCACCTCCTTACTGCCTACAGTTATCATCCAGTTAATCCCTATCAGAGTATTAATGCACTGATTAAGTTAAGGCTGTTGTAACTCAATCATTTCACCTGTAAGCTTTCTTGCATTGTCTTACACATGAGCTTTTGGGGGATACCTCATCTCTAAGCCATAACTTCCTTATAGTTTCTATTTAACCTCTTGGACTGATGGTTGATTTTATTCATGATTCCCTATTTTTTAAGATCAACTTTATTGAGGTACCATTACATGTAATGAAACATGTCCATTTAAAATGTATATATAGCTCAATGAGTTTTGACAAATATGTGCCCCCACAGAAGCTACTAACGTGACCAAAATGCAACATTTTCATCACCACAAAACATGTCCTATCCTCCCTCTACTCTTGCCCACTTTTAAAAATAAAAAATGCTGACATTTCATTGGTTTTTGTATTTGACCCCCCTAACAAATCAACATTTTCTACTACATACAGGTATTATTTATAACTTAAAATTAAATATTTACATTTTGAGAGCATATTTGGAATAGTTACAACTAATCACTACATTGAAAATGAAAATAATACTTTAACTTCCAATATACTTGATACTAACTTGTACCTACATAAAACTTTTAATTGATTAGAAGTCAGTAGTGAACAAGTACTTAACTAAATATGACCAAAAAATAATACAAATTCATTACTACCTAAGATGATTCTAACCCACTGAAATAATTTTTTAAAGATGCATGTTCTTAAAAATCTAGATTTTAAAGTTTTAGACAACTCCCATTTCTAGCAGTATGGTGGACTAACTACCCTAACTGACTCTCCCACTAAAAATGTTTCATAAAATAGAACTAAAATACCTTTTACAGTACATTGGTATGCTGGAAAGAGATTAATTCTAAAAATCAAAACCTAAATGAAAGTAGAACCCACAAAGAAGAGCATTAGTTTCTAGACAGGGAAGGTGGCACATGCTTTAATCCCAGCTACTCCTCAGGAGGTTGGGGTAGGATGATCCCAAGTTCAAAGCCAGCCTCGGCAATTTAGCAAGAACCTAAGCAAACTAGCAGACTCCATCTCAAAATAAAAAATAAAAGGACTGGGGATGATGTGGCTTAGTAGTTCAGTGCTCCTGGGTTCAATCCCTGGGAACCACACACACACAAACAAAAAATATAGCTTCATTTAGAGATCACTGGCCAAACCAGGTACATTTTAGCCTTTTTTTGTTTTTTTTTTTGTTTTCTTTTTTGGTAATATTTATTAACTGTATACCAAAATTCAATTTGTACTTGCTTGCCTTTCCATGTATTGGGCCAGCACTGTAAGTACTTGCCCAACTGGGCATTACATTTCTCCAACCTCCCTCCCTCACATCTCTGTGGGGTAGTGGGACTAGACCTCAGTCACAGAGTAGGAGCTGATATAATGCATGTCACTTCTATATATAATGCATGTCACTAATGCCGCAGTCTTGGCTGGGCACAAAATCACGAGCCACTCACAGCTTTGTAGATTCAAACAGCAATTCTTTATTCCCGAACTCACACCGGCCCTCTACAAACACGTTCTCGGGAAACCCAAGTTCTGCCGCAATACACGTACTCCACCAGGCTTTTAATCCCAAATACCTTCTGAACTCCATGAGAACTCAACGGGAACTCCGGCAGCAGGATACGCCCTATTCCCAGCAGGAATAATCTTAAAGCTGGAACTGCCCTAAAACCCAGATTGTCTTAAACCGGGAATGCCTTAAACCCAAATTATCCTAAACCGGGATACTTCCTAAAACCTGCAGGATACACCCTAAACCTGGATCCATCCTCGTCCTTGAGCAGGGTCACCTTTCTCAAACACACATGCAATGTCACAGCGAATTTCCAAGGCAAGTCCATTTAACATGGGGTACGCTGGCAAGGAAATTTCGATGCGTCATTCCTACTTGACAATGGCCCTCAGCAGTCCAAGAGGGTTAAGAATTGAGTGTATCTTCTTCAATCTCTTTTTGTAAATTCGAGTATTATAATTATACATGGTACTTGGATTCATTTTGACAGAATCATACATGCAAGGAATTTGATTTCAATCCCCATTCTCTCCCCACTTTTCTTCCCCTCCTTCCTCCCTATTCTCTCTCCTCTTTACTAAACATCCTCTCTTCTACACATATATAAAGGTGAAATTCCTTTTGGTACCTTTATATCTGAAGTTAACAAGATTTTATTGATTCATCCATTTATCTCCCCCTTTCTATTCCTTCCTCCCTCACTCTGGTTCCCCTTCTTCTACGCCACTGATCTTCCCTGGATTTTTAAGATATCCTATCTTCCCCAACTGCCTTCTTTCCCTTATTTTGCTCTAGTTTCCACATGTGAGAAAAAAACATTCAATCCTTGATTTTTCTAAGTCTGGCTTATTTCACTTTGCAAAATTTTCTCCATTTCCATCCATTCACCAGAAAATGCCATTATTTCATTCTTCTTTATGACTCAGTGAAACTCCATTGTGAATAGATGCCACGTTTTTAATCCATTCATCTATTGACTAGCATCTGGTTGATTCCATAGTTTGGCTAATGTGAATTCTGCTGCTATAAAATGGCCATATCACTATAATATGCTGATTTATCTTTTGGATAAATACCAAGAAGATAGCTGGGTCCTATGGTGCATCATGATTCCCTTTTATTAGTTTCTAAATCATTTATCAATGGGAAAAGAAAATTTTAAAAAGCTAGCTTTTTGTCCAGATGTTCTTCGCCCTTTTGTATATGACTGTATTACATATCTGGAAGTCTCAGGGTCAATGATCAAGGTTATAGTAAAGGTTTTCCATCTGCTGTGCTTAACATCCTGCAGTAATTTTCCATTGTTTCTATAGCTGCCATATGTTATCCTTGGTGTAATTGCTCCTGCAATTGCCTCTGGTTTCATAGTGATAATTACTCTTTGAATATATTAAAAATTATCTAAAACATAAAGTGAAATCTGGGCTGTTAGGTAACTAAGCCACAACATGTAGGTATCTGCTGTTAGACAGATTCCCAAGGTGTAAGGAGTTTGGAAACACAGAATCAGAATTCTAGAGCATAGAGATCATCTAGTTCAACCTTCACCTGGGGAGCAAAAGTCATGTGGCCTGCCCAGTGTCACAGCAAAGACTCCTCTTCACACTGAAACTCTACCAAAGTTCATAATTCCTTCCTACTTTTATTTTTGTTTTCCTTTCTTCAGTCAACAAGTCTGCATGAGACACCTAATATGTGCCATCTATGCTTTTAGTCCTTGGAATGATGCATTCCCTGGCCTTGGAATCCAGAACCAAATACCTTGCAATCAAATACCTACGTTTGTGCTCCTTGAATGAATCCCTTAAACTCTCTGAGACTTTTCTCACATTTCTCAATATGGGTATCCTATCTTCTTTTTACAAAGAGATTATTATTTGTTCACTCATTCATTTATTAAATCTCTGTGGAGTGTGTATGTCATGAACTGAGCTAGTCCTAGGAATACAATCATGAGCAAAATCAGACATAGTTGCTGCCCTTTATAGTCTACTGATAGAGATAGAAGGCATATAAATAGACACAAAATACAAATAAAATTACGGTTGGCTTAAGTGCTAATTTAACAAATTTTATAATAATAATAATCATCATAATAATAACTATGTTATATACTGAATTATAATGAGATTAAGTAGGAAGGAAGGTGTGTAGAATTATCTTGAAGAATTTTGATCATGTCAGAAGATTTGAAAATGTTTCCCTGAGGAAGAGACCAAAGCTGAAGGAAGAATGGCAAAATGGGGTATAGAAAAAAACACTTAGCACAGTGGGAGAAAGATGTGTAAAAGCTCTGGGATCCTTTTGACTGATGGGAGGTCTGTTTGTCTGGAGCATAAAGGACAAAGGGTCAGAGTGTTGTGAGATACAGAAAGAGATTAGATGTCACAATAAAGACTTTGTTTTTTATACTAAGAGAAATGGAAAATCATTACAGTATTTTAAGCTGGGATTGGGGTAGGGACTATTGAAAGGTTAGGAACAACAGAGACTTGAGGAATGAAATAAATCTATGTGGGCAAATCTCTTTCATAGGTCACAAAACCCTCTACAATTGTCAGTCCCTGACTTGACCTATGTCAGGAAAATATCTGTACCTTTTTGGACATA